AAGATAAACTGACCAAATTCAAACCACTAAATTCAGTTTCAATTTAGTCAAATTTATTTTCAAATTAATTCATTCAATTTCAAATTATACACATTCAGATTCAATCTGAGCAATTCTAATTCAGTTCCTGCTGGCACAAGGTTTATCCCATACATGTCTTTGTTTTATTTCTAGATTTGAAAAAAATACCATTTAAGGTAAATGTGTCAAACTGAAGGTCCGCAGTCAAACCTGGCCCACCACAGCATTTTATGTGGCTCACACGAGCTTAAAAGATGTATTAAAATAAAACCAGTTTTGAGCATAAACTGCATCTCCCATAATGCACGTTGAATATTTTACCTCCACACAAGGTGGAGCTGCACAGGGTTCAAACGTAGCCGCCCAAATTAGTTGTGTGAAATTTCTATTTCGCTGCATTTCTGCCAACTACTTTTGCTGCAGCCCAGTTGTACTGGGAAGTAGGAATTTCCTACTTATGAGTCGTAAATATAAACTGAAACGTTCCTCCGGTGGGAATTCCCTGTAGGAAAGTGGGAGAATTCAAGATCTACTAACTACACCTCATCAGTGAGTAAAACTCTCCTACTTTTACTTCTAATAGTATTTTTGTTTTATTTTCTCGTACTACTTTTCAGTGTTTATAAGAAGACGTGTTAAAAAGCTGTTGCTATGCAGGAAATACCAGGTAGAGCTCAGTTCGTATTTGTTAGCGGAGCTCAGGAAGGCTGAAACAATAAAAACCATTGTTTGTTTATTTAGAGCCAGCAGCAGGGGAGATCGTGGCAACAAGAGTTTGGACCTAGCATAATCACCGTAGAGCTCCGCTACACCGCTAACGCCGCATGCCGCCAGCGTAAAGAACTGAACGGCTCCACTTCCACCATAGCTGTTTTCTGCTTCCTGTATGGAGTAAAAGAGGCCATCAAAAACCTCCTCACCATCATCCAGGGTCTTCTCGTTGGTCCAGTTGGTCCTTTCCTTCACGTTTTTAAAATGTGGATGCTTCTCACTCAGACCCGTGTCAAAAACAGCCACCTTCACTCCAGAACCTGCAGCAGAACAGACTTTAACTCCTGCAGACGAGCTTCAGTTAAACGTCCCGCAGGAAGCGGTCCGGCTCTCACCGGTGTGTCCCATCTGCCAGAGGACGTCCGCCTGCAGGATCTGGGCCACGTGGCGGGGGATGGCGCGCAGCAGACGCCGGCTGGAGTGGCGACCCGTGGCGTGCCAGAAACCCGATCCCAGAGAGAGGCTGGTCCGTCTGAAGGGGCGGGACGATTGCCACGACTGCCATTTTGGAGTTTCTGGTGCGGGGTTGCACGGCGCCGTGGGTTCAGGAGCTACAGAGACAAAAAAAACCCAGAACTAAAATCAGTGAGAGATAACGAGCCGGCTCGTTAACACCTGCTAACGCCGTGTCCCCGCTCAATCACATCCATTTAAATCTGAGAGTGATTTATTGAGCTGCAGATCATGACGACATAATTAAAACTCATCTTTTTACAAGCAGAATCACTTAAAGGAGCAAATGAGACGAGGCGGTTAGGAGGCGAGAGCTGAACCTCCTGAGGAACAAAGGAGGGAGCTTCTTTCAGCTTTGCTTCATGAGGAGGAGAGCAGAACAAAGACTCTGCTCTGAATACCTGCTCAGGTGTTAAGTTCAGGTTTTATCTGGAGGTTTCTGCATCCCCAACAGAGTCCAGGAACACAAACACAACCTGGAGTTATTAAATATTGGTCGTGGATTCAGGTTCTGACCAGTCTATAGGGAACAGGGAATAAAATCTCAAGACTATCAAGGCTTTTCATTTCTTTGGAGAAAACACGCTCTCAGTTCAGATGATGGGTCTTTCTTTCTTTTTCAAATCATCTGCTGAAAATTCTTGGATTTTTTTCCACATCATCATCTTCATGGCAGCGTTAGAGAAAAATCTGTCAGTTTGTTTCTAACATCGAGCAGCCCTGAAGTGGAGCAAACTGAACTGGTCTAAATGTGCAAAGATCAGTCATTAAAGGGCCAATATTATGTGTTTCTCAGACATATATTTAAATCCTATACCATAATAAAATAACTGTCACCTTTAGCTGTTATTAAAGGGATCCTCGATTAGTTGTAACGTTAGACTTTATATGATAAACATATACTTTAGCTGTAAAATAAAGACTGTAAAAATACTGTAGGCTGTTTAGTTTTATCATTTTTAAACTAAAAGTCAAATAAAGTTTAATGTTATAACTAATCGTGGATCCCTTTAAAATGCTGTCTTTATATTTAAATAGAAAATAAACTTATCTTCTCATCACTTCCTCTTCTAAACACCTTGAAATTGGCCTCTGTGTCTTTGAGAACCAACTTCCGCTTCTGTCTCGCCCATTTCAGTGTGTGTGTGTGGTGTTTGCTCTGTGATGAGGAAGCTCAGCTTGGTGACACGTCCCAGGACTGTTTCTGGTCTCCACCTGTCGTTTTGCTCCTCAGCATGGCTTCATAAAAACTGCAGGATTTCTCAAACATGATGAATGAGTCAGAGCAAGGCTTTGGGCCTGTTTTTTATGAGAGCGTAACATTATAACATGATATAAAACTCAAAAAAGTTGATTTTACATGATATTGCCCTTAAATTATGGGGAACATTATTGTTTTTTGTTTATGTTTCTTTAATTATATTAAACTATTTAAATCAGTTGTTCCCAAAGTTGGGGTCGGGACCCACAATGGGGTCCCAAAACATCAAGATGAGGTCCTGAAAATATTTTCTGAATTATCTATATTAGAAAATAACAACTAACAACATTTTTTTAGCCTTTTTTGTTACAAAAGGTTATTGTACTTAAATTAGACAAAAATAGCACAATGAATGTTGTTACCATGCTCTGATTTTTTTGACATGAAAACAATATTTATGATCCAACAACAGTTGGGGGCTCAGCTCTCTGCTGCTGGTATTTTAAGGGTCAAAGGCTGAAAAGTTTGGGAACCACTGATTTAAATGATCCAAAACCAAACTTGACGTGAGTTAAATACAGTGTGTTGTTTCCATTCGGCTGATTTAATGAGGACCACACCCCATGCTGACTCAGCATGTTTGTAAACAGGCTGGGGGCACACTGAAGTCTTTCATCCAGTGCCAGGCTCAGGGCGGACCCCCACATCCAGCCACTCTGACTCACCTCGTCCCTCCCTCTAAGAGCAAACAGACGGTCTGTGTCCCCCCCCCCCCACCAGCTCACACCATCCTCCGCTGTGAGAACAGAACCACAAAGGGTCCGTTCAGAGATTTAGATCCCCGATTCTCATCCCCTGGGACTCACACGGGACGTATTTGAGGGTGCGGAAAACTTTGCGTTGCGGCGTCACCCTCTTGATGTAGGGGTGCTCCTCTAAGGTCAGCAGGCTGCCGGGGGACGCCCGCAGGATGTGGACCAGCTCGAAGTCGCTGGGGAAGTCGGAGGCCGGGTTTTCCCTGGGGACGATGTGCCACTCCAGGTGGGCGTCTGCGGCGCTCCTCAAGGCACGGCTGATGTAGAGGCTGCGGGCTTTGGCTGAGAAATACCCTGTAAACGCTACGATGTACTCTGAGGACACAGACGGACATGATTTACTACAAACCACAGAAAAACTACAGTCATTCTGTACAAAACTCATCAAATTACACGTTAATGTAGTAAAAGTCTGGGCCAGGGGCGGGGTTAGAGGGGTGGCAGGTTCCACCCCCGGCACCTGATTGGCCACCCTAAATAATTAACCGGTGGGCAGGGATTTTGTATTTAGTATTTGTATTTAGTATTTGTTAAATATTGTTTTTTTAACTGTACTGTATAAATGTTTTAGCTGTGTGTGTGTGTAAAATTAGCATTAGCATTAATGGTTAGCTAAATTTAGGATTAGCATCATGTGATCATTCTTAGCTACTTCACAACACGTTTAATCTCAATAAGTCTTAAAACAGCTGGAATAAAGCTTTTTAAAGTTAGCTGTGGCGGCCATCTTGAATTTTTAAGCCTAATGTACTTGTGCCACCCCTTTAAAAAGTCTAGCCCCGCCCCTTTTTGGGCAAAAGTGTATTGCTTTTATTTTAATGAAAGTGTCTCACCGTCTTCCACCACCTCAGAAGAAAACTCCAGTTTGAGGGTCAGCTGGGAGCAGTTGGAACCAGTCGCTGATGGCGGGAGGGTTGGATCAGAACCGAGTCGGGCTCCCGGCTCCGGCTCCGTCCCCGCGGCGGCCAGCAGCCCCAGAAAGACGAGCGCAGAGAAACGGAGCATTTTGATGTCCTGTTAGCGGATCAGAGGGCGGGACGGATCATCGTCTTCGGCTCCAAATAAAAACCAGTTGGTACTGCGAGCGGGCCGAGCAGCTAGATTAATTTCTTTCTGCGTTTTCGCTCCATGGCGCCGGCGGCGGTCCAGAGCGGCGGCTCAGCGGCACGGACGGAGGAGGAACAGGGTGGGCATGACGGCTGGAGGAGTCCGACGCAGGTGGAGGGGGCGGGGCCAGTGTCAGCGAGGGGGTCTTCTGAAACCAGTCTGGATTTTATCTGAAAGACATTTAATAAATAATGAAAAGTTGGACTGAAGAGACTTCTTTTTATTTTAAAATATAAATGACCATCGCGCCACGAAGTTTATATTTCTAACTTATTACAACTTTGTTAGATGAGCGTCTCCAGCTGACGGTGTGAACGCTGCAGACTTTCAGCTAATTTAACCACTCAAACATTTCGGCTCCATCTGGAATCATTTTAGCTAAAACAAATTTAACAGCAGCAAAAAACTAAAATATGAATAACAGCAGCTACAAGCTGCAAAACAAGTATAACAGCAGCTAAAAGCTAAAAGAAGTAAAAAAAAATAGCTTAAAGCTAAACTTGCCAAAACCGCATCTAAACTAAATTAAGCAAAACTAGCTAAAAATCCAAAACTGAAGAGCAGCTGCAGCTTCGCTTAGTAAAACAGTAAATTTAGGTACAGAGTTGAAAAAAGACAAACATGCAAAACAGCAGCTAAAAGCAGCTAAAAGTATCATAAAACAGTAGCTGAAGCAGATTTATATCAATGTTTTTGAAGCAGTTTAGGGTAAATCAGTGATTCTCTGACAGAAATTTTATTTTAAATAAAGTGAAATATTTTGAAAAGTTACAAACCTAGAAGCTTTTAGCTGCTATTTTAATTGGTTTTTAGCTAACATTGTAT